TATAGTATATATATAGGTGTGTGTGTGTGTATGTGTATGCGTGCGTACGTGTGTTCGCAATGCATGTGGGTGTGTGAATATATATATATATATATAATGTGTAAGTTGTGTATGTATAATGTATATATTGTATATATTCTTAATATTATTGTTATTAATATTAATAATAATATTGTTTATTATTTTAGGATATATTATCATTATTGTTATCATATAAATATATTAGTATAAATCTTTACATACATAAAAATATTTATTATCTATATAACATTTTTATTTGATAATTAGATTTCTTGCATCATTCGAAACCACGTTACCAAGGATGAATAGTTACCTTTCGAGACGTATATATGACGGATCTAGGATGAAACATGCATGAATTTGATAACATGCTCAATTGTCCCATAAGTTTGATTGGTGTAGAGGGTATAAACGATTCCTTAGTCCATTCATAGTAATTCAGAAGGAGTGAGTTTCGTCGCTGAGTTTCTTTATTTAACTCTGCACCAATCAATCACTACTAGTAGCGTTCACAGATAAGGTGGACACGTGCATCAATCTATTTTTAGAACGTGCAATGATTCTCACCTGGACAAGTGGACAATAGCCCTGTGAAGCGTGCATACAGGTGCACACCGAAACCAATACCGGTACGCACTAATACGAATACCGGTACGTACTTTTACGAATACCGGTACGCACTGATACAAATACCGGTACGCACTGATACGAATACCGGAACGCACTAATACGAATACCGGTACACACTGATACGAATACCGGTACACACTGATACGAATACCGGTACGCACTAATACGAATACCGGTACGCACTAATACGAATACCGGTACGCACTAGTACGAATACCGGTACGCACTAATACGAATACCGGTACGCACTAACACGGATACCGGTACGCACTCATACGAATATCAGTACGCATTAATTCGAATACCAGAAGGCACTAATACGAATACCGGTACACGCTACACAGCCCTTTCATGCTTTATGGTGCCGCGATGGACCCCAAGCGGAGAGAAGAATGTCGGATTCAAAATACAACGACTCAAGGATAAACTGGGAGACAAGTCCAACGCCAGCAGCGAGGTAACAACCAGCACACACCACTGTGGGCAATACGCTCAGCACTTGTGTGTACGCGCGTGTGTGGGTGTGGGTGTGTCTGGGTCTGGGTCTGTGTGTCTCTCTGTGTTTGTGTGAGTGAGTGTGTGTGTGTGTCTCTCTCTCTCTGTGTGTGTGTGTTAAGGAGGGATTTGACTGTAGTGGGAGCTTATGTGAACGAGCACCGAATGGAGGTGACATCCACATCCACATACAGCATTGCATACACATACAACATTGCATACTCATACATCATTGCATACACATACACCATTGCATACACATACACCATTGCATACACATACACCATTGCATACACATACACCATTGCATACACATACACTATTGCATACACATACACCATTGCCTAGGCTCTCATACTCATACATTATTGCCTAGGCTGTCCGGAACAGCAGCTCTGGGCCTCTCATCTTCTTCCGAGTGAGATATGCTCACACTTAGACCAATAACAAGAACAGCATGCACACTTAGACCGTTAAGAAGAACAGCTCGGTCTCACCACACGTGGCATGCAAACACACTTTGACAACGGCTGACCCCACAGCCGTCTGTTTGTACATGACTCTACCAGCCCCAATGCGTCCAGATCCGAGTGTATCATTTTCACATTCGGCCAATCAGAGTCCAGTATTTTAGTCCTGGAGTTGTATTGTATGCGCGAAGTTTTGTGTGCCTGGGTTTTGTTCGCACCTGTGGTTGGGGTTGATACATGCTCTTATACTGGGGCTATATGTCGTAGGCATTCAATGCCTTGTTCCTCTCAGTGGCTACTTAATAGGACACACCCTCGCTCAACTATGATTGATTAACTATGATTGAATATGATTAACTATAACTAACCATGATCGAGTATGATTGACTATAACCAACTATGATTAACTTTGATTGACTATGAATCACCATGACTAACTATGACTAACTATAATTGTCTATGATCGAATATGATTAACTATAAATAACTATGACTAACTATGACTAAATATGACTAACTATGATTGACTATGATTGAATATGATTAACTATACCTAACTATGACTAACTATGATTGACTATGACTAACTATGATTAATTATGACTGACTATAACTAACTATGATTGACTACGATTGACTACGATTGACTATGATTGAATATGATTAACTATGACTAACAATGACTAACTATGATTGACTACGATTGGCTATGATTAGCTATGGCTAACTATGATTGACTATGATTAACTATGATTAACTATGAATAAATATGATTACCTATAATTACCTACGATTACCTACGATTACCTAAGATTACCTATGATCGACTATGACGATCTATGCCTAACTATGATTACTGTATATCCAGAGTGTTCTCCTCGCTCTCTCTCGCTCTCACGCCTTGGTCCCTTTTGTGCCTGTTCAGGTAGAGTATCATTCAGCCCTTGCCCAACTGGTGGGTCGAGAGGGCCGGGGCATTGCGACTATCATGGACATGGTTGCGCTGACACGTCTCGACTGTACCACAGGCTCGAGTGCACTGATTAAACAGGTATACCTACAAAACTTTAAACCCTACACTGTATGTGGGGTTACCCAAGTAGGGTCAGGCGGGCGAAGCAGAGAGACGGGCAGTCTAGGGCATCTGGATGTATTTGGGTTTTAGGGTTATATTTAGTTTGGTAGATGGATGGTAATGCATGTAATGGTAGATGTGTGTATAGGTACGTAAATGCTAATGTAATAGTAGATAGGATGATAGTGTATGTAACAGTAGATGTATGTGAAGGTAGATGGATGGTAATGTATGTAATGGTAGATGTGTGTATAGGTACGTAGATGCTAATGTAATAGTAGATGGAAGATAGTGTATGTAACAGTAGATGTATGTGAAGGTAGATGAATGGTAATATATGTAGTGGTAGATGTGTGTATAGGTACGTAGATGCTAATGTAATAGTAAATGGATGATAGTGTGTGTAACAGTAGATGTATGTGAAGGTAGATGGATGGTAATGTATGTAGTGGTAGATGTGTGTATAGGTACGTAGATGACGATGCAATAGTAGATGGATGATAGTGTATATAACAGTAGATGTATGTGAAGGTAGATGGATGGGAATGTATGTAGTGGTAGATGTGTGTATAGGTACGTAAAAGCTAATGTAATAGTAGAGGGATGATAGTGTATGTAACAGTAGATGTATTTGAAAGTAGATGGATGGTAAAGTATGTAATGGTAGATGTGTGTATAGGTACGTAGATGACGATGCAATAGTAGATGGATGATAGTGTATGTAACTGTAGATGTATGGTAATGTATGCAATGGTAGATGTGTGTATAGGTACGTGGATGACGATGCAATAGTAGATGGATGATAGTGTATATAACAGTAAATGTATGTGAAGGTTTGGATGGTAATGTATTGGTCCAGGGGCAGAAGCATTACACAGACCATACATGCGATCACACACAATAGACACCGTGATTGTACCCTGGGCTCGTGTGCACTGATGAGGTACTTATGCAATTTGTCCTACTCTTTGCAGAGGTTCTTGCATATGCTTGTATATGTCTGCACGAAGGCGTATTAATGCTTACAGTGTTATTGCGAATGTTTATACTTGCGTACATAAGCTTGAACGCAAGTGGTATTGCATTCCACTGTCTGTACACGCTTCTACACCGTCTTAGCCCATGCGGACTATTATCCACTGCTGTAGTACAGTGTACGACCGATACTGATGTGCGTTGTCATATTAACTATACCCTCGACGTCATTAGTACCATGCACCTCCGAGCAAGAATATTTGGACAGGACAGGACAGTCCCTTTTTTCAAGTTATCACAGAGGCCTCCAGTCCATATTTGAAACCAGGACACTTCATTGAACCACTGTTCGCATGCACCAGTTTATTTCAGACGGACCGATAGGACCGATATGACCGTTAATAACGGTTAACGTTTTGTCTAGATCGGCAGATACGTTGGTCATATCAATGCACAGTCCACAAGTTAGTCTACTGTCGTACGATAGCGTCTGACACCTCAAAACCAGACAAACTACGCACCAATACACCTGCCATCCGATAGGCAGGGCTGTCATACTTGCGTCTGTTACCAATAAATACGACCTGATATCCGACATATAAATCCGACAATCCGACATATAACTCTGACAACTGATAACGGTGCCCCTTTGCAGTCGGTCAACTTTGCCCTGAACCACATTTCCGGTCGTGCTGCGTTTGGAAAGCGGTGAGCTACTGATATGGCCTGTGTGTTGATTGAGTGTACGTGTGTCAATTGAGTATTCGTGTGTGTGTGTGTGTTTGTGTGTGTGTGTGTGTGTGAGTGTGCGTGTGTGCGTGTGTGTGTGTGTGTGTGGTGTGTGTGTGTAGTGTGTG